GCTCTTGGGGTGGAAGTCCTGAATGACACACATTAGAGCATCTACACGGCTCTCCCCGCTGGGCAGAGTCACGAGACTCACGGTTGGGGATGCTGTTGAAACTAAAAGTACAGAAAGATAAAAAGGGCAAAAGGAAAACATCAGTGATACTTCATATTTCAGTTATTTCAGTTCACTGCAGAAATAAAACTCCACAGGAAATCAGATAATCTCAGTCTGAACACACAGACATATTTACACCAATGTTACCTGGCTTGCCTATTCTCTCAGATAGCTTCGTTCCACTGGATTGGTGTCGTGCAGCACATTCATAATGAGTTTGACCACCCCAGTCTGCCGCATTGACGCGGATCTCACTGACCACCATGCTGACTCCATTGTTCTTGATCGCGGAGTACTGATAAATGTCAGACAGCTGGTTACCGCTGCTGCCCTGCCAGCTAAAGCTCAAAAAATCCTCTGGTGAGACGCCGCCTGCGACACAGCCGAGGCTGATAAGACCTGCAGAGCTGCTGGGATTACATGGCTGCAGAGCATAGAGGAAGTCTGGTCCTTTGGGAAGATCTGAAACAGAAATTAAACAAATACAAGCCATCAAAATAAGTCAGCAGTAGTCAGTAATACCAAACACATGTATTACAACCTAAATACAAGAATAACTCATATTGTTCAAAAAATAAAAGGGTAGTTTAACCTGGCAGTCTGCACTTTTGTGGATAATCACATATGGAAAAAGTCTTGTAAGAATACATATGACTTATCTGTGTCACATTGGCCGTGTACATTTGGTTTGTTGCACCAAGATAAACATATATAAAGGTCCGATCATTCGGGGCTGCAGCCCCGAGTATTTTAGCCCCGATGTAAATCATCTTTAAGAAGGGGGGGAAAAAAAGGGGGGGAGGATAAACTTGACTTTGCCTTTGATTTTCTCAAATAGATAGAAACTCCCTTGGTAGCAGGCAATATATAATTGTTTCATTTGGGGGAGGAATTGCAAGCTTCGTGTGAGACCGTGGAATTTAAACCGACTGCAGGAGTCTTACAGTATGTTCCGTGAGAGCTGTTAAGAGCTGTAGCAAGCAGAAATGGAGTGACGTACAGCCGAGACTATAGTTGCTTAAATGAGTTCAAAGTTAAACTGACCCCGTTCTTTCAGTAATAAAACGTTTACCGATTGCCTTCGTATTTTAAGTTTAGAATGCTTTTGTAACCAGTCGATCCTTATAACCCCCCTTCGATCACTTAATAATTACATTCCTGTCACATTTATTTACAGTCAGTATAGATTATTACGAATCCTAAACTCGATCTAGCGTATTCAATATTGATTTTCAAACTGTATGTAACATTTGTTTGTCATTTTAATTGTCACTGTACACTTAAAACACTATTCCATAAATTCAGAAGTACATACTGTACAGAAGACTGGGTGACGTAGTTCAACTGATACAAAACGTGCCATTAAGGACAGGTTAAAACGCATTCTTAAAACTCAATTGCTGGGCACGCTGTTAATATATTGTTAAACATTACAAGGTTAAATGCAAATTAATACATTTGCTATGCTTATTCCCTAAAGTATACCGGCCCCAATTTTGTGGGTTTTTACACGTACGTCAGACCTTAAACAATGAAAAACATAAACAGCCTACTCAGATACACCGCCATCCAAAAGCAAACACGGAAACTGAAAGATATTTAAAATGAATTATCAAGGCAGGGTGAGACGAAGAGGACTTACCGTTGGTAACAGCGATTTTGGTGCCTTTCCCCCAATGTTCCAGAGCATAACTGTTGTGACCAGGTGAGCGACTGGAGAGCGAGCGAGCGAGCGAGCCGGGAAGCAGGCAAA